TCCTCATCCTGAGGAACCCTACCTAGGCTGTGGGTCAAGGTGACGCACCCCTGCACCCCCTCTGCCGGCCAGGGCCCTGCCAGCCCGCTGAGTGGTGACTGGTACTCAGCACTGTGAGGTGAACGGACAGATGCAGAGACGGTGGGGGCAGGATGGGACGACGACAGCAGGGAGGGAAGACGCCAGGGGCAGAGGAAACCGCTCACCTTGTCGAAGTGGTTGAAGGACGCCCGGAACTCCTGCATCTGCTCCTGGCTGATGCCCTTGGCATCGCGGGTGAGGATCTGGTTCTCCACCTCGTTGATGGTGCGGGCGATGGTGGTGAGCAGCTGCTCCCAGCCCACGCGGATGTGCTGGGGGTGGGGCGAGGGGATGACCACGGCTCAGGCCGGGGCGGCCTCCAAGTCTACCGCAGCCGCGGCCGCCAGGGGCTTGGAACCCGGCCCTCCTCACACAGGGCGTGCGGCCCGGAGGTGGGCTGGCCCTGGCTCTCCCAAACGCCCCCAGCCCCAGGCTCTCCGGCGCACCGCGTGTGCACATGGGGATACCGGCCCGGCACCGCCCCGTGCCCCTGCCAAGCGCTCGGGTCCTCCTGTGACGGAAGCAGTGAGGGCCAGGGCCCAGCACCTGTGCGGCATCCACATGGAAGCCGCAGAGGTATGGTGGGCGGCGTTTAACCAGCTTTCTGGGGAAACACTGGGTTTCTCTGATCTGTGCATTTTAATGGTAAAGTGTCACTGTGGACAAGCTCAGGCTACCAAGAGGCTGACGCTTCAACCTGGGCACGGCAAGCGGGTGCACGCGCCGACTGGATAGAACAAAACTGCTGAGCTCACAGTGGGGCAGGTGCTCCCCTCCCGGCTCTTCCAGGGGGCGTCCTGAGGCCGTGTTGTCACGGTGACGGAAGAATTGTGGGAAACTGATTTTTTAAAAATGTGTACACACTTGATCTAGTGTTTTCGGTCAGAGAAAAAGGAGAGAGAAAAAGTGGCAGACGTCTTTTCTACTGAGCAAAACCGTCTGGAATAAAGGCCTGGGCCGCGCGGCCGGCGGGCCTACCTCCATGGTGTAGTTGGTGTGCTTGTTGTCGAAGATGAGCGCCTCCTGGATGAGCTGGTGCTGTTGCTCGAGCAGGTCCAGATTCGGCTTGTAGTCCACGATGCTGCGCTCGTAGCGCTTCAGGTGGTTCAGCTGGTCCTCCAGGGTCCCGTTCATCTCGATGGAGATGCGCCCGATCTCCTGCATGGGATGGGGTGCTGCTGAGTCGGGGAGGCTACCGGACGCTCGGCCACGACCGGCCACGGGGGCGGTTTCTGGACCAAGGCTCGCCATGCCCAACCTCCGCACTCCCTCGACTCCCTGTGAGGCCCAAAGATGGCAACTGTTCACAGTGAGAGGCAGGGGCAGGATCTGGACCCGGGCCCGGCCGGCTTCAGAATCTGTGCTTCTGAGCACGAGTACCTGAAGCGTGAGTTCCCACGGTGGCCACGCAGCCCCCTCCCAGCATGGTGCCTGGCGTGCGGTGAGCACTCGGAAGGCACACCAGGCACACCCAGAGCTGCCGTCAGCATCATTACAGGCTCCCTGGGCCGGGACCCAAGGGTCACTGGTGAGCCCGCCATAGAGGTCTGTGCTCGGACCGCCCAGCCCGAGACACCAGTGCTCGTAACGGGGCCACCACGGAGCAGTGCCCTAAGCATCTGCTGAGGCAGTGCCAGGGCTGTTTCCACCCCCTTTCGGAGATGAGAACACCAAGGAAAAGTTACATTGTACCTGACCTCCTGGTCAGCGGGCAGGGCAGGGCCGAGGCTCAAACCCTCCTCCACCTGCCTCCTCCACCAAGATTCCCTCTGGCTGGTGCTGCCACTTCCAGCAACGAAATCACTGACTCTCCCAATCCTGAGGCTGCTGTCGCTCCCGGAGCGGGAGCCCCGGCAGACCCACCAGGGAGCCCCGGGGACCTGCTGCGAGGGGCGCCGGCTCCTCACCTCCATCTTGGTCTGGATCCAGGGCCCCACGACGTTGGCCTGGCTGGCGAACTGGCGGCGGAGGTGCTCGTTGGACTGCTGCTTGCTCTGCTCCTCTAGGAGGGCGTGGTCCCGCTTGGGCACCAGCTGTTGCACCTGGGGGAGGGTGGGGGGTGTGAGCACCAGCAGTCGGCAGGGGGCGGGGGCGGGGCCCTCACCCGGCCAGCCCTGCCCTGGTCCCACCAGCGAGCCTGCCCACCTTCTCCCACTTGGAGTTGATGATCTGCGGGGTGACGGTGGTATAGGGGTTACTGCCCGACAGTTTGATGTGGTTGCTCTCGGCGATCCTCTGGGCCTCCTTGTGGATGGCCAGGATGGCCTCCCGCTCCCTGTCGGCATCTGGCAGTGTCGACTTGAACTGGTCGTGGGCGGAGATCAGGCCCTGGAAGGAGAAGGAGGAGTGAGGGGCAGCCCGGGCCCTTGGAAGTCCCACAAGAAGCGCGGGTGGGAGCGGACCTCGATCTCCTCGATGGTGTGGACGATGAACATGTCCTGCAGGTCCTCCATGGCGCTCTCCATCCAGTTGTTGAAGGGGGCTGCCCGCTTGGCATACTCCAGATGCAGCTGGTCAATGGTCTCCAGCTGCTTCTCTGTTTTCTGGTATACGGGGCAGGGAAGGGACAGAGGTGAGCGGGTGGATGGTGGTCGAGGGCCCCAAAGGGTCAGAGAATATTCCCTCAGGGAGCATCAGGGGAAGCTCAAGAGTCCAGGCATCGCCCACACCCTCCCCCAGTCCTGAGAGTCTCGGGGCACAGGGCTCCACGGGGGACGTCGCCCCTCCTCACCTCCAGGGCTTCCCTGCGGCTGTGGGTCAGAGAGCCAAGGGCGTCCCACTGGTCGCAGATCTTCTGGCACCGGGTGTTGACATTGTGGGAGTCATAGTAGTCCAACTCACTGCGGGGGTGGGGGTGGGGGGGGACAGCATGGGCAATGACACCCAGCAGGGGGCAGTCAAGGCTGTGCTGGGTCCTGCCCTCCCCCTGGCGCCGGGGGACACGAACATTTAAGGTGATCAGTCTTCAATGACCCCGCTAGCCCATGACCCTCCCCAGGTAGGAGGAATGTAGGAGGGGGTAACAGAGGGGCAGCAGGGGTGGGGGTGGAGGGCTCACCACACACTAATGCAGAGGCCCCCAACGAAGCTTGTATCTAATTGCTTTGTTTGCTTAAAAAAGTCTAGCAGAGCACGCTGTTTAAAGGATGGGTGCCAAATTCCCTCGGTTTGAATCCCGGCTCTTTGATTTTCTACTTGTGTGACCCCGAATGCGTGAATTCCCTATTCTGGATACCTCAGTTTTCCCATCTGTGAAACAGGCGTGGGGATACCATGGAGATCCAGTTATCTAGCGCACATGAAGTGCTGAGAACAGTCCCTGGTACCCAGTAGGTAAATGTAGCAACAGCGATGTTAAAGGGGTTTATTCATTAAAAAAAATCTTTTTGGTTATTTATTTTGAGAGAGAGAGAAAGACCTGGGGAGGGACAGAGAGAGAGAAATCCCAAGCAGGCTCTGTACTGTCGGTGCTGCTGAAATCCTAAGCTGAAACCAAGAGTCAGATGCTTAACCAACTGAACCACCCAGGCTCCCCTAAAGCGGTTTATTTTAATGGGCACTAAGAAAAAATGGATAATGAGCCTGCAATGTCATTCTAAGCAACTAGCAACATACCTAAGAAAAACGTGGACTGTCACAATAGTCCTTGGCCCCTCAGCCACCAGCATGGCCTTCTGCCCCTCCCATCAGTCTCTGGGCTCCAGAACCGGATCCTCTTAGTGGGAGGTTCCCAGGGAGTCGGGGTACAGGCAAAACCTTGGGGGCTTGATGAGGGGTGGGCAGCAGGGAACGACTTTGGGAGGAACAGGACATGGGATGGGGCTGGGGACCATCTGGTGACTCTGACAGGCAGATGGGACACAGGGGCCAGAAGGGGCTAGGAGGGGCAACAAGGCTGTGCTCCACAGAGGGGTAGGCAGCCTGAGCTCTGGTCCTGTCTCAACTACTCCCCAGCAGTGTGACCTTGGGCAAGTCTCTTGGCCTCTCTGTGCCTCAGTTCCCCTTCCATAACATGGGGCTGCTGAGGGATTACACGAGCTGGTGCGTGTAGAGCACCGAGTGCTCTGAGTTTTTGTTGCTGTTAACCAACGCTCAGCCAGGCTGTCTGTCCAGGCTCACCCTGGCCAGCACTTGGCTCTCTGACTCATCTTTGGGGGGGAACAGACAGCACCCCAAACAGTCCAGGGCCACCACGGTCCAGAAAAGCTGTCTCAGTGACCACCTGCTCCCCGGCTCTGGGTAACAGGTCCCACACAGCGTTCTCTGTGCCCACGGACTTACTCCAAGACTGTTTCCCACCAGCTTCTAGGAGCTCGCCTGTCAGTGGTGGAACACGCCCACCTCCCGTGACCCCTATGAGCATCTCACATGTGACCTCACTCTCCTCGACCTGGGTGTGCCAGGGACAGAGGCTCAACCCTAGAAGAGGCTGCAAGACCCCTAGAGGTGCCCCTAATAGTGACCAGTAGAGACTGTGTCTTCCCAGGACGGTGAAGGCCTCACGAGTGAGCAAATGGGGAACCCTCAAAGCAACTGGGCAGTGCTGAGGGCGCGAGTCAGGGAGGAAACAGGCCCTGCCTGGCGAGGGGCTCCACCAGGCACCACTGCTGGCCTCATAGGAGCAAGCAGAACTTTAGGGATGACCGGCAGGGTGGGGGTGTCTGCGGAAAGGGCAGCTCCAGCCAAGCATCCTATTTTTGAGCAGACGGCTATTTTGGGAGCCTTGCCGCCCCTCCAGGGCCTGCAGATTTTCCATGAAGTAATGGCCTCGGCCTCCCGCTCCCTGGGCCGTCCCTGCCGTTGGCCGCTGTGCTGGTGGAATAAGGCTCCATTCACCGGCTCTGGAGGTTCAGTGTACTAATTGTGTGCACAAGTTTATCTGACTGGGGCGGGGAACGGAGGGCAAAGAACCCGGCTGCCTGGAAGCTCGCACAATAAGCGTATTCTGAGCGAGAGAGGAAAGGGGCCGGGCAGAACAATGGGCTCTCTGTGCAGACCAGTCCCCTTAGGGCGGAGCGGGTGGCAACAGCAGGGGCTAGGCTGCCCACCACATCAGGGGGCGGGGGTGGGGGTGGGGGTCCTGGTTGGTGTGGCAGGCAAAAGGTAGAGTCTCAGGGACTACTACAGCCTAAGCAATCAGGAAAGGGCTCAGAGACCTTCTGCCTGAGAATACAGGTCCCACTATCCTCCTCTGGGGTTAAGACAAGGTGGGCATCATCCCTTAAGCCCTTCCCTGACATCTGAAACGAGACGGTGGGGGTGGAGAGGGCTGGACCTCGGGACGTTGCCCCCACAGTGGGGCAGGGACACGACGGGCCACACATACTTGAGCTCTTGGGCAATTGCTGCGATCTGCTCCACGCGGTCCTGGTGTGCGGCCAGGTCGCTCTCGAAGGCCTCGTGCTTTCGGATGAGGGCTTTGATGTCTGACAGGGTGGCCGTCTCGTAGTCCCGATGCTTCAGCATGGCCTCCTTTCCTGGGGTGGGGCAGACGGCAGGAGGTGTTCGGACAACAGGGCAGTGGGAGTCCAGAGGGTCGTCTGACCACAGGGAAGGAAACGGGGTACGGACCTTACATCCTGCCTCACTGGGGATGGTGCTGTGAAGGCTAGAAACTTCCAGAACCTTTTTCCTTGCCTTTTCAAGGGATCTCTAAGCCCAAGTATATCCTGGACGGAGCTAGGAGACACTGTGGGGCCAGTGGGTCTGAGACAGATATCCCAATCCAACCTGCGTGCTCCGAACTTAGGGCCCTTTATTGGTGGACCAGAACTGGACAGTTCTCCCACGGTTGCCAAGGTGGACCCATCTGTGGAGGGCCGACATCTGGAGAGGCGGCAGGGGGTGCAGCCCAGGCCTCAGCAGAGCAACGGGAGGGCAAGTGTGAGAGTGTCAGAGTTCTCCAGGGGCCCCACCCCTTGTGCCTGCCCCCTGGCACTTAGAGGCCAGGCTCCCTCGGGGTGGGGTCCTATCACACACCTACGTGTCCTACGCCATCCCCACGGGCCTTCTGTGTGCAGTGAGGTGGGGCCCATTGTCAGGCCCTTTGAAGGAAGAGAGGAACACTGTTATTAGTCCTGGAGCCTGGCTAATTACATACCCCAGGACAGAAGCTCAAGTAAGTAAGCCCTGCAAGCGCGGTGCGGTGCGGTATCGCAGACGTGGGGGGAGCGGAATGCCAGCCTGGGAAGGTGACTGGGACCCCCGGCTCCTCAAGGTGTTCTGCTTCAGGCAAGCCACCTCGGGGTACCCCTGGAGTGGCAGCTCAGAGACCCTGCTCCTCACTCAGCTTGGCACCAGAGCGGCAACGCAGAGCGGAGGGACGGCACGTGGCCTTTCCCCACCTGTCCCCTCATCTGTAAAATGGGGCCGACGGCGGTGTCCAGTCTCAGTGAGGTGACATTTGGGAAGGGTGGGCGCCGAACCAGCACCATCGCATCTCCTCCACCCCGAGGACAGGGCCTGGCGTTGGGGCAGGAGGCTTAGCCACAAAGGCAAGCTTGCAATTCCCTTCCCCAAACTGCTGTCTCCCAAGGGTGGGAACCACAAATAGTAGGTTACCGCTTCTCTGCCTCAGCAGAGTTTCTGCAACAGAGCTGGCAAGGGGTGCACGGGCGGGGCGGGGGGATCCGGGAGGAATGGCCCGGGGCCATGGATGCCTTGGATTCAGGCCAAGGGGAAGCCACAGTAGGGACCCAGGGGCTCATTTTTATCTTTTCCCCCAGAGAATCCAAAACCCTCTGCAAAGCATCCACCTGGACCCTTGCCCCGGCAGGCTGTGGCGGGTGGTGAGGGAGGCACAGAATGATGGTGGCTCAACCCGCTCTCTGGGCCCACCCCTCTGGGGAAAGAAGGCCACTACCGCTGGATCCCAGGAGTACAGAGGGGCCAGGAGGTCAGTCTGTCCTCCCGTGTTGCACAATCGAGTGGTTCAGGGGACAGAAGCTTCAGGTCTTGGGAACGAGAGTGGGCAAGCCCGCCTGGGGGCTCCAGGCTGACGCAAGGCGGAAGGCCAGATGCCAAAGCGCCTGCAGGGAGGCAGGGGTGCGACAGGGGCGTGTGGAGGCCGCTGAACCAGTTGGGCCCTGGCTAGGGGCTGAGCCAACTTCTCCTTTGAGTGAAGGCCAGTCCCAGTCGTTCCCAGGAAAGGAACTCTGGCGGGCCATCACACCCACACCCCTCGGCCTCAGGAAACCATCTTCCCAGAGCCTCCTGCGGCTCCAGGTGAGGGATTGAAGAGCTGATAACATGGGCCAAGGGAGGTCCATGGGGAAGCCACCTAGCGCTGGTGGGAAGACAATGGAGATGCAAGACATGGATAATGACAGGAGGAGAGAGCGGAGTCCAGCTGGGGAACACGGATGCTGTAAAACCCACTTGTGTGCGCAAGGGCCCCCTGACTAAAGAAATGCCAGGGTCGGCTGGCTCGTCAGTTCCCTGGGCAGGGACCTCGCCCACCTGGGAAGCTGCTGTGCTCAAGGAAGAGGCGAATGAATGAATAAATGAGGGGATGGACCAAATGACAACACCCCCCTCATCGTGGACGCCGCCTCTGCAAGGCAGGAGGCGCCTGCATCCCTGGCCCGATCTGGCTCTTCATCGCCTCCTCCGCATTCTTTCCCCAGCAGAGGCTGGATTAGGGTATTGCTCTGGATCTGGCCGCTGCTGCTGGAAAACGGAGGCCTGCACTGGTGTGAGGAGGGCATCAGTTGAACTGCAGCCAGGGACATGGGGGACGTAGGCCCAGGTCTACGGATCCCACAGAGTAGCATGCTCGAAGGCCGGCGGGGGCGGGGTGGGCTCCGAATGGGTGCTTCTAGCAAGATCTCAGCATCTGGCCAGTGCTGGGGCCGCCTGCCCCACAGCTGGGTAGATGGGGGCTGGAGGAGCCCCCAGAGGCTCAGTGAGGGCCTCGTGGGGGACGGTGGGGGTGGAAGGATGAAACCTCACACTGAGCAACACAAGAAGTGTGACATCAGCCAGGAAGAGCGGTGGTGGTAGGGCATAGTCGGGAGGGAGGCAGCCAGAGTGAGAGGGCATGAGTCCCGGCTCTTGGCTTTCCCAGGCACTGGCCATTTTCCAAAGGCTTTCAGACCTCTGGAATTCGGGATCTCAACCACAGTGCGGGTCCTGACCGAGGGCCGGGGATGTGATGGGATCCCACACCCAGAGCCGGGGAACAGGTGGCTGCGGGGGAGGAGGAGCTCCGGGGGGGGGG